CGGATGTTTATCTGTCAATGTGAACACAACTGGTGATGACCAAGGCTTGTATGTGTGTGAGCTCTTGGCTTCTGACAAATATGAAAACCAGTCGAGTTTCATACCAAGCAAAGGGATTGAACACTACAGCATTGCGGTGAGTCTTCGTCTATCAGAGTATGGAGAGTTACCCATATGCATGGGACTACTGAAAAAAGGCTATTTTAGTTAAAAATACCAAGTTCGAGTAAAATAAAACCGCCTTTTCTTTCGCGAATCCTTTATTTTTGTTGGTAGCGAGCTAAAAAAAACTAATCAAAAGTTAAAATTTTCGTGGCATAATGCAACGTTTTTTGTTCATTCGACGTTTTTGAGTTTCGTGTCTTAGTTATGTTAAAAAGTTAATTCAAATACTTTCATTGTGATTTTATCAATTGAAAACTTAAAAAATAAGTGTGAAACATCTTTAGTAATGTTCACCGAAGGCGATGCAAATATCGGAGAATATTTACCAAGGCGTAGTCAAATTAAATATTCTCCATATCCACTAAACCTGCGGTGAAGTATTGTTTTAGTCTCATTTTATATTTAAACATCACAGAAGCGAAGACGAAATCGTCAGGGTTTAAAACCAACCAAGAAACGTAACGTTTTAGTATTACTTCGCTGTCGCAAACTATGGCAAACCTCATAACATTATCTCATAATCACTGGTTGCTCGACCAATAATAAAAATAATATTTATCTAGGCACGATAAGTTTAACAGGGTTGTTGATGTGGTCGTTAAATAATAATAGATCAAAGCTAGCGAACTATATCTATATCTATAACTAAATCGGACTACACTGCTGCTTGGAGACAAATGCTTGATGAAAAAAACCTCTTTGTTTTATTCATTCGCAATTTGAATTGATATAAAATGCCCAAGCGTTAACTTAAGTATATCACTTCCCCCCCCGGAATTCTACAGTATTTTAAACATTGAGGCTAGTTTAAAACAAGATGAACATCGACTGAAAAAACCTTTGAAAAAAACTTTCTAAGTGATAACGAATCGAGTTACGAACACAGCATGCTAAGTGAATGTGCACATTTGAACGCAGACTTGGTTCTCAATACCGCCTCAGTTCCGCAAAATGCTGCCCTGAGAAATGGGGAAAATGTCAAATAATAAGTTCACGTTGTTCATAACTAATATAAATTTGACAAAATCATTTTCAACTACTAGAATCCATGYGAGAAGAAACCATGCAAGCATCGAGGAAAGTGTGTTCCATTCTATACAAACTACACATACAAATGCAAATGTCTTGAAGGTACCCTGGGACAAGACTGTCAGATACCAGGTAAGTAGTCAAGAGNTTGGTATATACAACCACGTAAAAAAATTATTTTAAGAAATATGACCTATGTTTTTTTAAGGCTACCGCCTGCCATGCATTCAATGTGTGTGTTTCCTAAAACGGAGCCAACATTTCATACAATAGTCTCCCTCGCATCCGTTTTTAGTGTCGGTCGTCACGCTCATACAAAGGACTTCCTACAATCTATTATTACTAGCATTATTGGTGAAGTGCGACCCGCAAAGTTTGAGGACTCGTTCCGCGGACTACCATTAGCCTGCGCTGCATCCGGAATTTTCGAAAGTCCATGTGCGAATTAGTGCCACAAAACTTGTTCTAGACCCCCTGCGAATTGCGCGATTATATATAATTGATTCTGATTGGCTCTCAGCGATATTCATTCTTACACGAACTCTCATTGGATTAACACGTAAAAACTCTTTCATGGCAAAATTTTATTCTAGCTCTTTTTAAATCTTTGAACGACGGTGTTGGTGACGATTCAAGTTGAGAATTAGCAAAATACCGTCCAAATTTTTGCTTTGCCACGAAAGATTAAGATTTTCATACAGTCCGAATTCCAAATTACCGCTGTGTTTCTTGATTACAGACTCATTTGTACAGGGTTAGCCTCGAGTTCGTGCAGAATATTCACGTGTTCCAGTCAAGGTTCGTCAAGTTTCGAAGTGTTTGTATTGTTGAAGTTGTGCATTCTTTACTTTACCGTTGGTATTTGTGAATATTTAAACACTGACACGAGGCTAACCCTGTGCAAATGAGTCTGTAATCAAGGAACACAGCGGTAATTTGCAATTCGAAACTGGTCTATTAACGGAAGCTTATTACAAGGAAAAAATATTTTCGGTCTCAAAACAACATAGCGCATAGGTCTGCTTTTCAAAACCGGGTATATTCTGCCGTTCTCTCAGGCACTCTCATTCACTCTCAGGCACTCTCATTTACTCTCAGTGTTCATTATAAGTTTTCAAACTTGTTTTCCCCCAAATGTTCTTAGTGTTGTGAAATGACGAAATGATGCTTTAATACTAGGTGAAATACCAAGGCGGGCAATACTTCGTTGTTTAATACGAGGTCATTAAATACAGACTGTATACCTGAGTTTTGCCTCTTCACATGTTAGTCGGTGGCCGAACGCCTAATCGGCAAAAATGTTTTGAAAAAAATAAAAAGATGTTTAACTTTTTAATGTTATTAATAGTTTACTAAAGAGGATCTGTTGGGGAAGTAAGGAGAACAATGTCGCCCGAATCTCGATTTTTACAGAAAGTCGCTCTTAATCATGACTATCATTAGTAACTCACATGCATTATCTAGATAAACAAGCTCTATTATTTAAAGGCCCTTCACTCCAAAAACATTAAATTTCAACGTTTATGAAAATTATGAGAGTCGTGTATACACTGTCGATGGAGCCGTATAGATTATTGTAGACTAAGAAAAAACAAATTTACATTCTCCGGATAACTGTCTGTCAGTTAGGAGTTAGCCTAGGAATTGCAAAAGCTTTCCTATGACTATGACGAAGGACTAGCGTCCAAAACGTCAGTAAGTTTTTTCGTCTTTTCACGGTGTATAATTTACCTTTTTATCATTACTGTTTCATTAGATAGTTTTTCGCTAGTTATCTCTTCTATGGCCAGTGTTGTGAATTTTCATATTCATGGACACATTCACTGAATTGCGTGTTTGCTCATCAGATTTCCGCAGCTGCGCACAACGATTTGCCGCTGGATACACGAACAGCGGTATCTATGAAATCATTACTCCAGACACAAGCAAGATCGACGTATACTGTGACCATGGCAACGGTGAAGGTATAGTGAACCCTTCAATATTACAAACTATAAAGATCAGCCTTTTGCTGACTTTCTTTCTTTGACCATATTAGATGATTCTGGCTGGACGATGGTCTTCAAGGCCGTAAGTGGTGTACCACTACAACAACAAGGTCCTTCAGTATTATGGCTGTCAAACTCTCTTTTAGAATCCTCGTCGTCAGCTTTACCCATAAACAGCTCGTCCAGACAGCACTACAAAAACAGAATCGTAGAACACTGGCAGGCATTCAATCCAACACAGGTACTGTAATATTTATACTGATTGTTAGCAACTGTTGAAAAAGGGCGGGGAAAACGTCACGTGGCCAAAGAGCTGGCAAGTTTGTTTATAGTCCCTAGCTACTGGGAATTCAATTTGTTGTAGGTTCGATTGTCGTTGTACAAGAACAAGACAGAGGTTGTTCGTTTGGTATTCAACGCCAAAGGATCTACCAAGACCAACTGGTTTTCTCGTGATCGTCTTCTAACAAGTCCCTGGACAGACATACATTCCCAGCCTGTCAAC